CATGTAAAAACAAAGGTCCTATTTTTTTCCTTCCTTGATTAGATATATTTTTCTGGCTATAGGATTTTAGATTCAAAATGATTTCACTCTGAATTTAAAGGCATTGTTTCACTGTCTTCTAGCGTCCAGTCATGCTAGTGAGATATTCATGACAGAAAACAGTGGCAGGGGATACAAACAAAAAATGTGCAGAAGACCAATACAAACAGCCATTATACACATGCAAAACATGTTACTGCTAGTAAGCAAGAACGCATATTCTTTCTTGTCTATCAGATCAGCAGATTGGAAAAATGGCAGTGCCCAGCACTGGTGCAGACTCGGAGAAATGAGTGTTTCTTATACACTGCTGATGGGTGTGAAAATCAGATTAAACTTTCTGGAGCACATATTTGTAAAATTCAGAAATAAAATCTGTTATTTAGAGTGAAATTGTTTTGTTCTTTTCTTTATCCTTGGTGTAGCAAAGTTTCATGAAGATGGGTTTAGGGGAAAATATATTTTTATTCATCAGCCAAGCCCTTACTGGGTTGTTTCCACCTCTGTTTTGTTTCAGCCTAAGAGAAATAGTTCCGTTATTTCTTTGATGTCTTTTCCTATTCTCAATTTTCCTGATTCTTTCTTTCTCAGCATTTCATTAAATGAATATTGTTCCTTTGTAAGGATCTGCTATATCTTTTAAATTTTCGCTCATGTTTTCTATCATTTTTGTCCTTTGCTTTCTATTCTGAGATTTAAAAAAATTTTCTTCTTTGCTTTCTATTTCACCAAACATTCAAATATCAAATATTTTTAATTTTCATGAACTCTGTTTCCTTTTCTTATCAGCCTCTTCTGGTTTTTGTGGATGTGTTATCTTTATACAATCAAGTTGACCAACAAGGATAATTAGAGTATCTTAAAAGTTTTCTTTTCCATGATGGTTCCTGTTGGTTGTTGGTTTTCCTCAAATACCTGGTAATCCCTAATCTATCCTTATTCACAATCCAAGTCCATGTTGATTAATTAGAATAACTGAAATGTTTCTTCTCCACTTGGCTATTATAAATAATAAATGCACAGTACAAAATAACAACACAATTTACAAGAGTTAGTGTTCATCTTATTTGAAAGGGACCCACTTTAATAAAATATTTTAATTTTTCTCTATAATGTGCCTGTAACATTGATTATCTATCTATAGGATTTCTAGACTTATCTATAATAAGAAATCTTTAACATTTGGTTGATGCCACTTAAAGTTGTCTCATTAATAAAATATCTTACAAATGTATACTCTGAAGTTTTATCTAAGAAGTTTTTGAGTTAAAAACTCTTCAGAGATATCTAGTTGAAAATATTTTTGGGGAACTGAATTGAATTTTTAAATATCAAACCACTATTATTTTATATGTAAAGGAAAATCCATTTTGTCATAGGTTTCTATGATTTGTGATTTATTGACACTTTATGTATGTAGAATTGTTTTTAAATGACTGGTATAAAGTATAGAATTGCTATGGATACTATTAAAATAGTTGTATGACTTAACTAAAACTATTTGCAAAATAGATACATTATGAGGAAATCATCTATTGTTGGCAAAAGAGATTGTTTTTCCCTTTAAAAAACTCAGACTGATCGGCTACATAGGCTGGTGAAGACTTTTCATTCAAAAGATGCCAAGATCTTTTTCCATGATCTCACATTGCTGCCCGTTTATTTTCACACACAGAGCCTTATTCATGCTGGGGATCACAGTCAAGTTGTAGGCTAGCTTGATCTCAGCACCATGAAGCCATTCCCCCTCTTTCAGTCTTCCTTACACATTTGCTCCATGAATGCTTCAAATCTGGAAAAAAAACATACTCATGGGCCGGAGAAACAAAGAAGCAGCAATTTCCTTGCCTTATTCCTTGCCTTATTGGATGAAGAGAGCATGATGTGGTGATTGGAGCCAGACTTATCCCTGGCCACGGCACTGCAGCCAACCCAAACCTAATTAAGAAAGATCTTGAATAAACTTGGGTGAGAGCCAAAATTACTAGCTCCTTCAATCAATATTTTTGATATAAAAATTAGCATCTGGGTTGAATAAAAGGGAGCACTGTTTGATGCCACAGCAAAACATTCCTTCTAGCTTCCATTCTGACCTCCTGATGCTGGATATTTTATTGATTTGTATCTGTGATAACTTTTGAGAGCATCTGAATTGCAACTGTCAGATTTACCTCTGATTTGGCCCAAGGGATGCAGTGACAATAAAAGTGACCAGCTCTACCTTAAATCCTGTCTTAGGTGTCGACCTTTTCCAAATGTATAAGCTGTTCTTACTTGTTCTCTTATTCCTGCTTGTATTACCCTGCTAATAGATAAAGTTTAGCTGACTAACTTTTTTAAACATTTGATTTAATAAGAAAGAAGGTATTTTCAGCAAAAAGTAGCCCCCTGTCAGAGTCTTGGAAGTCTTCTTTATATAGTGCTAATCCCCTGACAACTTCAAACTGTTGTCTTCTAAGATGAGTCCATTACTAATCTCTGTGAGGGTCCCCAGAAGATAAATGTTAGGGTTTTTAGTACAGTGCTTGGCACATGATGTGTCCAAAAAATAATTGATTTATCATCTTTTGAGACACTGCACATCTATCTTAAAAATAATCCCTAGTCTTGATTCAGGAAGTTTGCATGCAGGGTTGAGATAGAGAAAGAAAAGTTTACCATTGATGCCTTTGTTACCCTGAAAGCTTGTCTTTTAATGCAGTTGAAACAAATTAAGGAACAAATCTCTACCTCTTAGTGAGACTCAGTGAAATATTTATTGATGAAATGTGATTTCTGGGGGCTTGCTTCAAAATAATCTGGTGGGTGGGGGAACTAGAATTGACAATGTTTGAAGCTAGGTGATAGGTACAAGGGGGCTCATTATTCTATTCTGTTCTATTGTATGTTTTAAATTTTCTATGATAAAACATTTTTTAAGTGGATGGATTAGAAATAAATTTTTCAAGTGGATGGACTGCTCTCAGCTCAAACTTGAGTTCCTCCTCAAGAACTGACTTCAGCTAAACAGAACTGTCTTGACAAAGATAACACCCTCCTCCCCAGCCTCTGACCTGGTAGCTTGTATCCAGTGATGCTCTTTTGGTGGGGAGGAAAAGACTTGATTCTCTTGCCTTATTTTGATACCACCCTAAAGGACCATCTTAATTACATAGCTCTACATAAGATCAACTGAGGCTTTTGCTATGATGACATCACAGTTCAATTTCTCCCTTTTCCAATCCTGTGCCCTTGCTCCAACCACAAAAATTCCGCATTGTATGTGGCCTCAGTGATGTGCTGGTAGATGTTTACCAGCTGGTTCTCCAGATCCTTAATTTGTACTGTTTGCCAATTTCCATAGTGTAAATACTCCCCACATGGTGAATTTCAAGCTAACAGTGTGATGTCACAGAGTTGAGAACAGATGAGCACAACTGGTTCTTGTGACCTGTGCAAGCCATCCTTGCCAGTTTTCCTCAATGCAACTCTTAAATGCAAATATCCATCTCCATTTTTTTTTTAGGGTAACCCAAACTACATCAACACAAAACCATCAATTCTTTTTTATGTTGTCAATCTTGGTGATTTGTTTATTAAAAAAACTAACATTTCACAGGGAAAATGAAATGAAACTGGTACCTCAAATGTCTCAATGAAACACGCATGTACATGTGTGCACACATACACACACATACACCACCCCAACATTGTAAGACATTTCACAATCATTACCTAGAAATATTTAAAATACAGATTCCACCTAATTTCCTAAGCATTATACGACTTCATAGGGAATTCTGAAAGAACAAACTTCAAATATATTGTTCTTACCAAGACCAGGAAAAATTACCAGTGAATCACCAGATAAGTTCAAAATACAGTTGTTATTATTGCTATAAATCAAAGTATATATTTAAAAGAGTTAAGGTTTCCGCATCAGAACTTTTAAGTCAGACTAAGTCATTTTTCCACTCTCTGAAGAAAAATACAGAGGAGCATTCATTTGTATGTTTCAAGAACTGTTAAGACTTTCGATCTATTTAACAGCTGTTGTTGGAATAAATAAATATCACAAGTTGAAGATATTTTTAAGAATAGGAAGAAAATAAATAAGACACCACATTCAATAGAATAGGGACATCTTGTAGGAAATGAACAGAGGAAAACTAGAGAAGGGATAATTTTGTCCAAATGAAGGACAGATTATTTTTCAATACTGGATCCATTTTTGTAGAAAGAGAAAATGCCTGGAAAATGTGAACAAAATGTCCCATTGAGGGGACAGAAAAAAAGTTGGAATAATTCACTTTACCTTAGTAGTATAAACATCCCTAAGTATCAACAGAGAATCAGAACCAAGTTCCTTGTTATGTATGACAGCCAGCTGATACGTCAAAACAAAATCTCCAATAATGGCTCTTAAATTATGAAATGGATTAGAATCCCTTGGAAGGCAGGCTAAAATGTAGATTCCTGGGTAGCACAGCTTTTCCAATTCAGTGGAGGTCTGGCCCAGGATCCAGGGATTTGCATTTCAGCGAACTTCCTAGTAAATTCTGAAGCCCACAGTCTCTGTCAAACCAAAACATGTTGAAAGGCAGTATAGCCAAACATCCAGTTCTGTGATATGATTAGGGCTGTGTCTATGCCATTTCCCTGTTATGCAAATGTATCCCCCTTACAAATATTCATCTGGATCCTTAACCTTCTTTTTCCTGAAGGCCATTTTTAGAACAACATCTTCCACCCATCAACCAGTCAGATTCTCATCTCTGTACCTTTATACTCTTACTCTGGAAAAGAAGGAAAAAGTGTGTGTGTGTGTATGTGTGTGTGTGTGTGTGTGTGTGTGTGTGTGTGTGTGTGTGTGTGTGTGCATGTGTGCACATGCCCACATGTGCAATGGGAAGGGTTGGGGATTCAGAATATTACAGTTCTGTTAGAAAATTCTCTCTCCAAGAGAACAAACCAAAGGGACATTATAAAAATAAAAAAAGTTCATGTTCAGCCACTTAACCAACCTCATTCTATATGACATATACTAATATAGTACCCAGTGCTGAGAGACCTGGGTCCCTCCTGCCATGCTCAGAAAGCATTCCACTTGGATTACAGTTCTCATGAGTGTATATTCAACAGACTTTCTGACTGATAGGTTGTTCATATTGTATTTGAGAATGTAACAAATTTCCCCAGGACTCTAGGATCTTGATGAAGAGGGGATAACCTGCCCTCTTGCTGCCTATGCTATATGGGTAGTTTCCTATCAGGAGTCAGACTCAATATCTGCCCCCCAAATAATAATGATAGACTTTCCTGCTCCCAAAGACACCCCTCCAGAGGCTTAAAACTCAAAGGTTGGGGGTGAAGGTGTGTATGAAGATCACAGATATCCATAATGGTAGGGGATTTTTATTTTTTGCTGTACCCAGATGGCCCACTACCCTCCTGTTTGTTTTATAGGACTGAAGGCATTCATGCATTTTGGACAGTTAAGTAGGATCAAACTCACTTAAATAAACATTTTCAAGAGAAAAGATCTGCATATCTTCCTTTTATTTGCACATTTATAGAACATATATTTTCTTTGCACAAGTAATGCTGTACCAGTTCATTGAGAAGAGTTGGAATTTAGTTATCAAAACCAGTTATTGGATGGAGAAGCTTTTTAGAACCCACTTCTCTTCCACTATGAATACTCCTTACAAATATTCATGAGGAACTTATGATCCACTTTCAAACTGTTACATCTACTGGGGGTTATAATTTCCCCATAAAAAGCTTTCCACACTTATCACCTTTATCCTTTAATAAGCTATAAGCTCAGGGCATATTGCTCCATCCAACACCGGTGCTTTGGATTGAATTTCTATCTCAATGCCCAGCATGAAAGTTTAGGTCCATCTGTGTCACACCAAGTCAAACCTCTCTTGAAGTGATTTGTTTATAGTGTTACTTGATGGAGTGGAATGTTCTGTAACTCATTTGAACTATTTCAGAAGCTTTGCTAAAAGGTCACCACTGCTCTTTAGAGTTTCCAAATCTGGGCACCATCTGGGAATTTGTTAAATAAAGATAAGGCTTTCCACTGGCTTTTTCCATACCAATTAGATCCCATTAGCAAGGGGGTACTATTCCAGAGAAGTTTATTTTCACATTTATAGAGAGAGAGACATACAGACAGAGAGACAAAGAGAGCTCAAGTAAATTACAGTGAATTGCCTGATAGTGGGCAAGTCTGCCTGAATGGGGTGTCATTCTTGAAAGAGTTGGGTAGAATTTGCTTTTAAATGCCATTTTTGAATCAATACATTCTTAGTGTAGTCTTGGGGGTCAACTCTAAAGGAAATTGAATCTCACCATTTACTCAAAATTCAATAGGAAAATAACCACTCATGTCTTAAAGTAATAAAGGCTATGCCTGCTGAACATTCACTCCACATGGCACCAACAGTATTCAAGTCGTTATAACTTTATAGTCTTAGTCTAGGTCTAAAATTGGTTTGTGCCTGCTTTCTGCACCCTTCCTTATGAAACAAAAGTCTTAAATTTTCCAAACCTGAACAACCCAGCTATAAAACTGTAGGAGACCAGCATGAAGAAAAAGAAAGTTTCCTTCAAAGAGTTCTCTAGGCACTGATGGCTAGTTCTGCTCTCTCCCTCAAAATGTTAACTATGGCTTCTGACACTTGTCCTTGGAAAAAGTCCAGATGTGGCAAATGGTAGAAGCAACGTTTCTTTACCTTCCTGCCTGGATCTTCCCATGATGGGGAAGAAAGTTTCCTTCAAAGAGTTCTCTAGGCACTGATGGCTAGTTCTGCTCTCTCCCTCAAAATGTTAACTATGGCTTCTGACACTTGTCCTTGGAAAAAGTCCAGATGTGGCAAATGGTAGAAGCAACGTTTCTTTACCTTCCTGCCTGGATCTTCCCATGATGGGGCTGAGTGCTAGCTGGTACTTTCAGGGATGAAACAATGAGGTCAGCTACTGCTCACCACCCTTGCCCATGTCTGCAGGCGAAAGAGGCAAACCCATAGTGAGGTCTACTGAATTAAAGATCAAAACCCTCTCATTTGTTTAGAACTCCTGAAAGAGTCTGGACCACAGAGGTTGCAGAGTAATGACTTTAACACAGCCTCGTTGCCATTAAAAATGTTCTAAGAAGTGTGGTGTGTGTGTGTGTGTGTGTGTGTGTGTGTGTGTGTGTGTGTGTGTGTATTTGTAGCAGGGTATCTGGGAGAGGAGAAAAGTAAAATCTGGAACCACATTTTTGTCTCCGCAGTCCCTGGTTGGAGACATTAAAAACACAAAGTCTCCCTCAGTTCACTGAAGCTGGTTTGGAAACCAAAATTATCCTAAAAAAGGGGGAGAAATCCATTTATATTCCTTTTGAGGCATGGAGGGAGGTATTTCTGGCAAAGTCTTTAGGTCCAATTCAGGACTAGGAAACTTAATCTTCAAGTTCAAAGCTTGTCTCATCATAGAGTTCAGGGCGCGCTGACTTCCTGTGCCGGGAATATTTCAGTTGCAGGAAATCACCCATCTCATCCAGGGCGTCCAGCACCTGCAAAGACACAGCTTTCCATCAGTTATCTTCAGACCCCTCGTGGATCAGTGCTCCGCAGCCTCACAGACAGCCACAGTCTACTTCTGCCAGCTTCTTTAATTTTAAAGAAAAGGTGGAAGATCCAAATCATTGAGGTGTGGTTGGTAAGCTGGCCCTAGAGGAGTGTTACATGCTAATTCATTTTGTTCAATATTTGTATTCTTTAATAGTCTAACTCCACATTATGAATGTTTGATATTTGGGGTGTGAGGAACTGAATAGAAGCATTTGACCCATGCTTACTCTTTAAGGCTTTATTTTAAAGTCGAATGACTTATATAACCTTGTGGAAGAAAAAGATAAGGTTACAGGTCACATTCAGTCATGCCTTCATGACACAGCAAACCAGCCTGGCCAAGGACAAAACAGGGCATTGTGGCAGCTGATCAGCATCTTCCCCTCTCTCCCATGATTCCTACCCATGGGTGTCCTACCCCTGTTCTTTATATGTTCATTGCTATGTTCCACAGAATACTAGAATTTAAAATTACAAGGGACAGAGAGCTCATCTGTTTTGATTCTCTTAATTCAGGGAGGTAAATGCACCTTCAGTTTTACAAATAAAACTGAGATCCCAGAATATACAAAACGTAATTTTTACTTCTAGTAAAGTACTAATCCTATGGTATTGGGCATGCCTTTTTAAACTTTTTGGGCCTGTTTTTCTTAACCCGTCAAATAAGGAGGAAGACAATATAGGGCTAGTGCTTTGGAAAAGATTAGCATTGTTAACATTAGCATGAATGAATAGTGAAGTTTGTGGACTTTCCTCTTTGGGAAGTTTTTCAAACTGACACCAATTAAGATATCTACTAACATGGGGAGAGTAGTTTATATTTGGGTAGTAGTATTATGGATGATTAAAATGTTGTTTTTACTTCAAAGTATTTTCTAAATTTTTGAATGAAACCTAAGCACTAAGAAAAAGTCAAGAAGATGGTATCTTAAAGGACATTGGTCTGGGAGTTTCTATTGCTCTTTGGTGAAGGTGGGGGAATTGGAGAAGCTCAGTGGTTTTCAAAGTGGAGTACACTTGGAGGGATGCCAGACAATTCATGGAGGATGTGGGCAAAAAACATAGGATTTCTACTTGTTTTCATCTCAATGTTTTTAATGTCTGTCTTTGTGTCTGTTATAAAATTGACATAACACATTGGTAATGCATGTATAATTTGTAAGTGGACTCATGTTGAAGCCCACTGATCAAAGACTACCCAGAACACACCTGTCTGCAAAGTTAGGTTTATCCAGCTGCTACAGCCTGGGAATGTGCACTCCAGAAGAGCCATCTCAGTAGGGAGATGGGAAGGGTTACTTATCACAATTGTGGCCAAGACAATTCTAAGGAAGCAAGGACCAGCTCTGGTTGCATGCTGCCTGTATGCAGAAGTTCAGAACTTGGTTGCATGGAGAAATCTTACCTAGACATGGGAAGAATTAAAGCAAGGCTAGAGCTGCCATTACTAAGGAACAGCCACCACTCGTGTAAGAAGAGGGAAATTTTAAGTCATTTGTGTTTGTCAAGCGGCCTCATCTCTGTCTTGTTCCAAAAATGGCCATAGGATTGACTTGTGTAATATTATGTGTTTTCTGTGAGTGTTGCTTATGTTCAATTGCTACCTTACTGCCCTGGCTGTTCAATGGGTCATTTTCTACTTTCTCTTATGGGTATATCAAGGAATCTGCTCAAAATTTTATATTAATATGGGTGCCTGATCTAGAAAGTTTAGAGGCATCTGTCAAGATGATGTCACAGTGCTCCCTTCAAGCCAGATATTCCAGAAATTAAGAACTTGGGGAGAGTTGTAAGATATGATGCCTACAGAAGCATGTGTTCATGAGCACCTCAGTGCTGATGGATCACAAAAAATACAAACCCACCCATGCTGTCCCTCCTCTCCTGTCATCTCTGGGGTTTTTTCCTTGGCCATGTCCTCTTCTCCCCCATGCCTGCAGGGACCCTTTCTTCCCTCTCTTCCTCCCTAAATGTGTAAGCATGCTCAAGTCTTCCCCTTTTTCAATGGCTTTTTCGAAACCTATTTTTCTTGCTATTACAGCAAAGTTTTTGAAAATTTGCCTAACTTTTCTTACCACTAACCTATACCATTTAAAAGAATTTGTTAAAATTAATGTATTAGAAATATATACTCACCTGGACAACATAGGAAGGTATAAAGAACAATAACAGCAAAGTTCACTCATCATCTCAAAATCCAGGGTTAGCTCAGTTATTCATCTGGAATTCAGTGTTTTTATTATGTGCCTACGGTGTACTACACACTAATTTAAGCCCTAAAAATGTAATGGTGAAGCAGGAAGACATGGATGCTGTATGTGTGCATGTGTGTGTGTAATTCGAGCTCAAAGTATCCTTTTCACTTTTTTAATTCTTTGTGTTCTTACTTCTGTTACCTGAATTCCCCTAAAGCTGTCTGCTCTGAGGAATCTTAAGCTCCTACTAATTACTTAAGCTAATAAATAGTTTATTTCTCATCTCTCACCCCACTTGAACTTTTGCAATTTCATGGGGACATTTTGATCCTCTCCATCCTTGAAACGTTTCCCTTTATACTGTACTTATCACTTTACTGGCTCAAGTCTTTTCAGACTGTTCTACCTATGTCAAAAGCTGGTTTCTCAGGTGTGATTCCTAAATTCACCCTGGGATGTAGGTGCTCCATGGAGTCTGCCCTTCTCCTGTTCCTTTGTATTGGACAATTATATGTTCTCCTGTTGACCTTAAAGACCCATCAGTTTCTCAAAGTGTAGCAGCTCCAGCCTTGCATACTCTTCTAAACTCGAGAATCTGATTTTTTTTCCCAAAGATGGCCCATAGACACATAAACCCAGCATGCTGAGAACTGAGTGCATTTTATTCCTCTGGTTTTAACTGATAAACTGCTTTCCTTATTGTATACCTTATTATACACAACTGTCTTAGCTTTAGCATCCTTTCATTACCAGGTCTAGAGACCTTGAATTATCTAGATTCCCTTTTCCCACATGTGCCCTGCATCCAATCGTTTGCCAAATCTTGGCAGCTCCATGCGTTTATAATGTCTGCTCACAGATCCATCATTAACCTTGTCATCTCTTGATTTGTTCAGATAGCTCCATTTTAGGTCCTTTCTTCTTCCTCTTTCCTCTGGGATCCATTTCTCACATTTGGTTTGTAATGACATGATTATGTCATTCCCTTAGTCATAAAACTTGGATGATGTCCCACAGCCCTTATAGAAAAAGGCCTAGTTCAAAACCTGGGACACACACACACACACACACAATTAATTATAATCCCAAACAGAATAAATTCATCTTGGAAAATAAATTTAGAAAGCTGTGGTAGCATAAAAGTGGGAATGAATCATTACATATGAAGTTATTATATATATATGTTCATTCATTAGAATTATATGAAGGTGGGACTGATTTATTATATATGAGTTTATTCATTATATGTAAATCAGTTATTAAATACAGAGGCAGGAATGAGTTATGTGTATTTGTGAAATATATATATATCACAATACATGTATATGTATATGTGTAATAGCACATGTAATATATAAATGTGTGTATATATAACTGATTTGGTTTTCTGTATATAACTCAACCCCAAACTGATTGAGATGGCTTAGTTCTCTGATATTACTCATTCACAAGATAGATTGAAGTTAAAGGACAATGAAATGTGGTTTTAAAATAATTCACACTTCATATAGGTCTGGTTGATATGGTATATCTGTCTGTATTATTGGTTTTCAAGTGTATTTTAATATGATGGATCTGGTGGCTATGAAAAATGTCAGGACGCAGGCAACTAATGCTGCAATAATATGTTAGACTCACTTTTGCATTTAAGAACAAGTCAATAGTGCTACATTTGGCTGCTCAATCTTTTCTATGAAACCAAAGCATTGACTTGACTCAACTGTTCACTAAACTCATTTTCTTTTCTGTCCCTGAATTCATCACTTGTTGGACATCGTTGGCATACCCATGTTTTTAAGCAGTGAGTTTTATTACTGTTTTCCTAAACTACCCAGAAGAGACCCAGGGAAACCCAAGCTAGTTCACTAAAAGAATGTGTTCAGAATCCGAGGAACCAGTACTGGAGATCTTGTTGGCCTATGGTGGACTCACCGCGTCTAACATCTCCCGTGTATGTGCGGCTGAAATGCAAATCCGGGCCCGAGCTTCTGCGAGGGGAGTGGCTGGAAATCCAACCACCACCACTCCGATTTTTCGGTTTAGTAGATGCCTTGCAAAAGCCCTAGGAGAAAGGCAAGAAGGAGGTTAACTGAGAGATGACAAAATGATCCTGCAAAAAAAGGGATATGGCTTATTGACTTTATCTTTTTTTGTAACAATAGATAGTAAAATGATTGAAGTTATTAAACTTATGTCAAATATAATTGACAAGGAAATGGGGTAGTCAGTCACTGATAGCACCCATAACTGAATGTGTATATTATGGGACCTGGCATTGTCATTAGACAATTGTGAGTACCGAGTCTTTGACACTGAGCAGAAAATTCTGCTGTATGTGACCCTGGTTTAACAAGTCTGCACTGATGTAAAATCCTTTGTTTGCAAAGTTTCTAGGAAGAAAAACCAAACAACTAACAATTATATAAAGAAAGAGTATATATATGTAAAATGCAGACCCATATGTTTTAAAAGCTAAATACCAATGACGTAGCATGGTAATTTCAAGAAGTCTATACTTGGTGACTCTAATTTGAAGACCAGAATCAGAGGGTCTGCAGAAGCCAACCCCATGCCATATTTTCACTCTAGAGTCAAAGATTTTATATTCCTTCAAACCAGAGATAGGAAATAGCAAGGTTCTCCTTTTTTAACATGTGCATGAATACACCCAGGTATGTTCAGGGATAATACCCACTGGCTAGGTTAACGGGAATGGGGCAGGAAGATGGAAGGAAAGGTGTACGGCAGAGGCTGGCCAGTAGACACAGCCTGCAGGACATAAGTCATATGACTACAAAGCTCTTTGATGCAGGGTAAAACCTTTTTAAGTCATGATTCCTTCCCCTCACCTGCTTCTAGCCTCTTTCTTTCCCAGAGCTAATATCCATAGCAATTTGGAATATCAAGCTCTCAAAGTTTGTAAATGTCTTGTGCCCAGAACCCAGGTCAGATAAAAAAAGCACATGTCTCAAGTGAATCTTTCCCCTTTGTGCTCTGTTGCTCTCCGCAGGAAACCTGAATGATTGGGTGGCTCTGTCCACAGTGAGGCAAATATCTCAGATCTGTTCCTGGCATTCAGAGGTTGCTGGTGTCTTCTTGTAGGCTGGAAACTGATAGCACCACGAAACCTTCCAGTCATAACTCAGGAAAAATTCTTAAACCAGATGTGGAGAGTAAGCCTGCCCATTCATTCATTCCTCCTGCTGTTTAGCTGTCTGACTTTTGGATGCCTCATGCAGAATGCAGATAATTAAATGAAGCAATGGAGATTTCAGGATGTACTGAACACACAGCCCCTCTGGCCCCCTGGCTTGAGCAAGGCAAGATTCACCCCTTGATTTGGACTGGGAAGGTTACACGGAGATGAAGCTTTCTAAGTGAGAAAGCTTGAAAACAGAAGCTGTTCTTTCTTTTTCTTGATCACCCTCTGGAAGGCTGCCCATGGAACTGCACAGGATGAGAGCTCATACTTGTCTGAGAAACAAGTCAAGTGCTTTTATTACTAGAGAACAAACCACCTGACCCGTGATCTCAGGCTAGTATTTAGGACTCCCCAAAGACCATTTTCATTGTCTGCATGTTTCTTTTTTTGCCAGAGGAAGTGTGTTTTGCCAAAGAATGTAGAGCAAAGCAAAGGACTGTTGATTCATTAGGCTAATCTGAGGCCTCCCTGGAGCCTAAAATTTACACTACTAGCCCTAGCCTCCTTCAGTTAATGTGCGCGATTGCCCCAGACATTTTATATAATGAACCTCTGATTTGTACTCCCCAAAGATTAGAGCTGGTGTAGTAAACTATGTTAATAATAATAATAATAAAACATCAGTACTGCCTTGAATGCAGCATTTCTGCATCTTGTGTCCCACCATCCTCCAAGTGTATCATGAGACTCATGGAAGAAAATGTAAACCTAGTACTAAAGAGTAAACACAATACATTTTTGCCTAAGTGACTCTTTTATAGGTAAAATCACATTATCCTGAACTCCATAGAAGATTCCAGTGGTAGAGTTGTAACAAAACTTCGTTCAAAAGGATAACTGGCTGGAGATCATATTTTCATTCTGCAGCAGGTGGAAATGTGGAGAAATCACGGTGCTTTTATTAAAATAAAAGGTTTTAGAATGAGAAAATGAAAGATATGTTCATAGGCTGGCTTATGTAATGAACTCCCTTGTCTCAAAACCTTCTATGAATAAACCTTCCATTGAAGAAATATCAGAGAAGGCGACAAGGCCAGGTAGCAGCAGGAAGCTCTTGTCAGTAATTCTTGCCAACAAGAGATGATACTATCTTTTGTAATTAACCTGTTCAAAATTTTTTTAGATAACCCAATTAGTTATTTTTACCCCATTTTAGTGACTGATGCCTTTTGATTCACCAAAGACGACATAAAAGAGAGGTAAACTTACATTCTCTATTGCTTTAATGAGATGTCCATTTTTTCCCTGCGGACTAAAGCTGGAGAGACTATTCTGTTCATTGAAAAGAACTTTGGTTTAGGAAGAAAATATGGAACTAGCTTTGAAGAAAATATGAATTGGCTCTACTACCTACAACCTGAGTGATTCTTAGAAAGTAGTTTGACTTTTGTGTGTCTTAGTGTCTCATCTGTAAACTAAATCTGAGCCTTCTACCCTTACTGGGTGATCACTGGGTCTAAGAGCCTTATGTAGCATGTAAGTAGCCTTCATCCATATTAGCTCCTCCTTAAAAAGCATCTTAAATTGGAAGGCACTAGATAGTTTGACATATCATCTAGTGCCCAACATAGCATAATTGATGCAGAGAATAATAGGATCTTAATCTGTTATTTTCCTGGAAATTCTATTTTTATTAATGTAACCAATGATTGCAATAGCTATTTTGGAGAGCCATGTGGTTACACTGGAGGAGAATCAGGACCCTTAGCATCTCATAAATATATGTTACTACTTTCCACTATGAGTGTGGTCAGACATACAAATAAACATTTTACATTTAGAAAGGATTGTAATAAACTTCCTTTCCATTACAGAGGTAATTAGTCTCTAGCAGGTTGGAGAATGGCTCATGTATAAAATTGTCTAGGCCACACTGAGAAAAAATAATTTTATCTCTCTGGAGTTGTCACTAATGCTCAGTTTCAAAGCTGCCATCCATGGAAAACAACCCTAGACAGACTTACAGGTGAGGCATTACAGTTTGGTGTCAAGAGCATGAGCTTTGGAGTGAGCCTAGTTTTGGGTTTGCCTCTTGAATTTACTAGAGCTCTACTTGTGTGATGTTGGACAAGTTAACTGCTCTCAGCCTTAGGTTCCCTCGTAATTGCAATGAGGCTCCATCTTCCAGGGATGTACATGACAGGTCAATGGGAGAAATGGTAACACTGTTTTCAAATGTTGGGAGAGATGGTCTTCAGAAGTTCCCCATGAGAATGTTCTGGGGGTGGGGTGCAGGATCATCTTTAATGTACAATTGAGGCCTGTGGGGAGAAGGGACTCACCCAAATTCACAGAGCTTGAAAGTGGTGGGCCTTCTGTACACCTGGTTCCCTACCTGTAAGACCTGTGAAAACGCCCTGCTTGTGGGCTGGCAGGTGGATTCTTGGAAAAGTTCTACAGGGGAATTCTGAACTTGGCACCCTGTTTCTGGTGCAAAATCAAAGCCTCTGCAGAAGGAGCCTCACAGAGTCAAAAGCGCCCTGTTGGTCAGATCACCTTGGGCTCAGGTGTTATTCTTGGATACTCACGCCACTTTAGCAGGCATATAAAGGAGCACAGGAATAACAGGAGATTTCTCATTGCCGTAGATGATGAAGCCCATTTTGTTCAGTCTCTGTCTGAAGTATCTTGTGTTTTTTGCAAGTTGCTGTATTCTCTGCAATCCTGAAAAGAGACAGGCAGAAATCCATCAATTCCCACCAAGAAGAGGGAAGCAAAGGTCAAATTGACTAATCCAGTGTCCCTGAGTCTTTCTGTAGGCTTGTGTCATTAGCTGGGAGGTGGTCAAAGTAGGCCGAGGATATATCCCCTGGTGAGTAGGTGTGTGTGCTGAGGCCTGACAACCCTGAGCCCCAGAAGGCAGGATGTGGGGGGATGGTGCTGTGAAGTACTGCTAGCAACTAATGGTGGGCTAGGCTGCAGGGCAGTCAGGGTGGGGAGGGTGTCTAGCAAGAAAAAGATGAACTAGTCATTTATTAGTTATCTATTGCATACAAACTCTGCTCTAAGTGTTTTAAAAACATTACCTAAGGAGAAAGTAGTGTGACAAGAAGTCACACACACACACACACACACAGAGCAGTTGCTGGTAGAGGCTTTTTAGCCAAGCTGAGCTGGCCCATTAAGTTGTCTCTCATCTAAGTCTCTCAACAAAGAACACTTCACCCACCTGAATTGGAAGGGGTAGCACATCCCTGACCAAAAATAGGTCCAACTGAGTCTGGGACTGTTTTGTGAGGCATTTAGTAGTGGCAGAGTAATAGAGGAAAGGGAAGAGGGGCACCTCACTTTCCCCAAGCAGAAAAATTGACGATGTTGGCTCCAAACAGGTCAGGCAAGGTACATGGGTCCATGTCCAGAGTATTGGTGCTTCAGCTCAAAGGCTTATCCTCCATCCCTTGTGTGCATCCCAAGGGGAAGGCCATACACATGAAGTGACAAAGGGAATTACAAAGCAGAAAGAGTCCTGACAACTGCCCCCTCCAGTCCTGCTTCTTAATCAAGTGAGTATACCAGTCCAAACCAGAGCATGTTTGCCCTAATGAAGAAGATTGATGAGACTGGATATTTAAGTCCCCTAGAAATCAGCCAATGTTTGCATTTGCTGCAAGGTTGCTAATTCACAGGCATGTGTTGTTATAGCTGACTTCCATTCTGATTGGTCCAATGTTCATTCAAGCAGATCAGAGCCTTCCCTACCAGCTATTCAATATTTTGAACATCATGTCTGGATGTCCGTAACTCCCTGGATGGGAAATGGATAAAAATGTCAGTAAACATGTCAGTCACTGTCCTCTTGCTCCTTCTTGGAGAAATGGCCCTAGATTGTGCTTTGACAAAGCATTGAGCGCTAGGCATCTCCTGCTCAGCATCTTTCCTCCAGGGAACTAAGATGTTCAGGTAGAGTTGGCTCTGCCTTTCTTCTTTCCTACAAGCGTGGCATGTGACCAGGGCCTGGCCAATTGGAATATTCCATCCCCCCAAACACGATCTAGGCCTATCAAAATCTTTCAGATCTACTGGAGAAGAAGTGTAAGAACAAAGTCATCTTTCAGCTACATCTTTGTCACCATGCAGACGAAACCTGCTTGAGAATGATTTGACTTAGAAGGAAGCCAAAACACAAGGCAGTCAGAGTTCCTAATGGTGTCATTGGAACTCTTCAGTCTAGCCATGCCTAAGTCAGTCCACCTTTGCACTGTCCCTGTTGTTGAACCAATATATTTCTTTTTTGAATTTCAGCTTCTTTGAGCTGAATTTATACAACCTATAACTAAGTGTGTCCTGTGTCTTACCTCTAAAGAAGAAAAATAATAACAACAACAATAATGGTAGCTCACAAAAATGTAGTGCCACTACTATTGTAAGCACTTGCCATTTGATAATTTATTTAGCCTTCAACTGTATTGAGGTAAATGCTGTGATCTCATGTTATCCAGGAGAAGGAACCAAGTAACCTACCCAAGTTCAGAATGGGGAGGTAGCAGAGCCAGAATTCAGACCCAGGTAATTGGGTTCTAGAATCTGTGCTGTTAACCACTTCATTTGGAATTTTCCTAATAGCAATAATGGATGGTATCTGGATAAATCCATCCAATGGATGTGTACAGAGATAATGGATGATGGTTATCTCTTTTCTACAAGCTCAATACAATTTACCTCTGCCAGGTGTTAGGATCATTGCCATACCGAGTTTTTTGAGTAGAGGCATTTCAGAGATTGAGGGCTGAGCAAACTTTTGACATCCTCACATTGTGTGGGAGTGGGTAGGGCATCTCGCACAGAGTCTGCGGCCTGCCACAGGGGAGGACTGGTGAACCCCATTTACTTTGAGTTGGGGGCCTGGAGGGCTACTCCTGAGAGGTAAGAATAAACCAGAAGTAGATGGGCCCCCAAAGGGTACTTTCTTTAGCCAATCATCTGACAGTTTTCACTATGCTCTATGTCTTCCCAAACTGCCTCAAGATCTTCTTTGGAGAGTTTTTCTTTGCTCATCAGGCTGAAATCTACTTGACTTCTGTGACATCTTAAATGTGTTAACAATACATGCCAAGGAACCAAGAGATTTAGTTGAGTACAAGACCAACGAAGGGGGAGGATATTGAATGCTTCAATTGTCCCTGCTTGTTTTCTGTTACTACTCTTCACCCAACCCCAGTTCTCAAGGAATATTCCTCTCCAACTCTGCCCACTCTCAGAAAGCAGGTTGTGATGGAGAAAGTATCTGCCTTATTGTACTTTCTCAGGAAAGTTGACCTTTCAACCCCACCATGCTGGATACAGCTATAGGATGCAGGTCATCCTTGACCCAGGTGTGGTCCATCTGGGTGCTGGTCAGGGAGCCATGAATTGGTTTATTATGGGAACTTCACCAAAGAGACAATAAATGGAAATTTAACCAATACGATCTTCTTGCTGGTAGAATGTAGATGTGAAGCATTTAGAGAGAACCAACAGTTGGTAGTAAGACTATAAATTGAGGGACATAGAAAAGCTTGTCGACAGAATCTATGAGACAGAGGAAGCCATTGGTGGGTAGAAGCTATGGTGACCCATGAAGAAAAGAGGTGGGCAGTTCAAGGTCAGTCAGTAGCAACTGGAAGAGAAGAAATAGAAACAGGGAAGAGCTTGTAATTTGGTTGGGGAGACAGACATTGCATACACAGAAATGGATGTAAAATTTCAACTCTGATGCATAATGCTTTATAGTGCTATAAGAGCCCATGTCAAAAAGATTGAATTAAGTCTGAGAAATAGATAAATAATGAGTGAGCTGAGATCTGAAGGATGGACATGTTAATCAGGCAAAGAAGCAGAGGAGAGCATTCCAGGCACCCAAAACCAGGTACAAGGGTCCTATGGTTTGTAGAAAAACAGTGTTTGAGAACCAGGCAAGATGTGGTTGAGTGTAGGGCAAGAGGAGGCTGAAATGGTGGGTAGACTGCATAAAAGAAAAGAAGGAAAGGGACCGAAGAATCCCCCATTGAATGGTTGGGAAAAGGAGAATGAATTTAAAGGGAGACAAACAGAAGCAATCAGGGAGGGAGAAGATACATCAGGAGATGAAACAGTGTTCATTGGACTTATCAGCGTGACAGTCAGTCATCTGTTACTTTGGGGTCCCTGCCTGGGGCTTTGCTTTTGAAGAAATAGGTAGTTGTTGGTATAGTTTACTTTAACGCAGATAAGTTTTTATTTCCCCACCCACTTCCTTCAAAAAAAAGATAAGCCCTATCCCCTCAAATTCCAGATTTTCAATCTGAATACAAGTAAGGGATTCAGAGAGAAACCATTTATACAAATTTTGTTGCATAGACATAGATAGCTTTTTTGTTGCTTCAAGATATAATTGTTTTGTAACATGCTAACGTGTCCTTTGGAAACTTTTATGTGTACAGAGGGCAACCTAGTTGAAGGACAGAACTAGAAATTAGAAAGGAGAATGTTTGTCTTTACTTTAAAACAAATTTCATCCATACATTGAGACTGTGTTTAGGGAGATGAGAGTACAAGGGATTAAGGACAGAAAAAGGTAAAGAGGGGCTGGAGTAAGACTTGTTTTAAAGAAGGTGACTCACATGAAGGCACAGATATACATCTTAGTGACTAAAATGTATTCCATATGGCCTGTTGCCTTGTGTATTCAGTACTTTTGTAGATCATTAACTGCACAATGAATAGATGACTTCATCAGCCTGGGTCTGACGATTCCTAAATGATCCCCTTCAAAGACTACAAGGATTTCCTGGTCTGGAAATGCTTGAATGACTTAAATTGCTTTTCCCAATGGCATTATCTTTGCATTTGCCCATAATGACTCGTCTATCATTGGGCTGCCCGGCTACTTAATCAGGCCCGTTTGTCTCCTCTGCCTTGATTAACCCAAGTAACTGGATCATCAGCTGCTGTCATAACTTTACTGCTTCTAGATTCTTTGGAGAGTTGACCAAATAGATCAGACTATTGACCCCAGGGGCAACTGACTCTTATGAACTGAACATTTTACTTCTGCCCTGTCTTTCTCATCTCTGACCCATGTAGCACAGCATGCTCACTACCCATTATGACACACTTCGTGGCCACCATGTTTTCTCAGGCAGGTCACTGTACACGCTTTGAGGTCTTCTGAGGTGGCCAAGATACAGCTCCTTTCAATTATTCTATTTCTCACTCTTTAAAATTGGAAACATTCTCTCACTCTTGGGGGCCTGGGGGCAGAGAGGAATTTGTTTGTATGAAATGCTACTCATCTAGACAGGATGTAGGTGATTTTATTAATGATGTGCTTTGAGATCCTTGTTTGAAGAATGCTCTGTAAAAGCGGAAAGACTGTTCAGCACCTGTACTTTTGTACAGGGATGGTCATACTGCGATGGCATGAGTCTGGGCATGACAGTCACATCTCCTTCCTAACACTCAAAGTCCCTAGTTAAATAGTTTCTGATCCTTCTTCCACATACAACACAGAAGACTGAGAATGTTCCTGCTCAGATAAATAAACAAATGAGCTGATCTCTTTGATAGTGTTCTAGAGAGTTCATACAAGTGTTTATTTTGCTATATTCTAGGTTCTCTGGAAAAGAAATAGCCTTTGGGGTGAAATGGACTAGAAACCACACTCCACCTGGACAACTTAAGGTTTTGAAAGCTCAGTTTTACTTGCA